GACTAAGAAATCAGTATTGTACCATGTTGCATAAAGAGGTGTTCTTTGTAATAAGTCTAATTTTATTAAAAAAGCATAGAGCCACCAGAAAGTATATAGCCTAATAAAAACAAAAACTCTTTGCCAGACTATCCACTTCCACATATATATTGTATTATTTTTTTTTAAAAAAAAAGCCTTCGATATAAAAACTGCCTTCTGTGTTAATTTAATTGCGCGATTTAATTTCAGTTGTAGATTTATGTATTGTGATTTTAAAAAACGGCACCTTATTATATCATTTAATATATTTAAATGTATTTTTTTTTATTAACAAACTTTAGGAATATAAAAAAAAACCCGAGAAAAAGTCTTAAATTCAAAATATTATTTACTGTCTCTAATTAATTTAAATATTTTAACACGCATTTAAAAAAACATTGTTAGTATAGTTTATTTAATATATATAATATATTTATAGCTTTAGCAAATGTTACTTTAAGGTCTTTTGAGAAACCTAATAAGATAATGATTAAGAATGCATTAATTAATTAAACTAGATGATTGAACTAATATTAAAATTGAGGCAAAAATCAAGACTAAGGCTACTAATCAAACCAAAATTACGACAAAAACCAAGAGTAAGGCTAATGCTAAGTCTCAAAATATAAACCAATTTAGAATCTTGTTGATCAATAGATTTTAGTATGCACTTGTATATTAATCACAAAAGGATTAGATTAAGGAATGGCGGTCATAATATGTTTTTATTAAATTTTTTATTGGTTTATCATAATTTCTAATTAATATTATAGGATAATTACACAAGTTGTAAATAAAATTAAAAAAGAATACAAACAAACCAGCCAAATAACTATATCCTTAAATTACTTTGATATTTTAATTACTAAAGTACTGTTAACTAAATAAACTTTTAAATAGTAAAAAATACAAAGATAATTCAAAGGTCTCTATTAGTAAATTATTTTGTATTAATTGAATACAAAATCGGTAAAGATAGCCACTTTTTCAGATAGTTTTTAATAAATCTTGAAATACTGTTGTAAGAATATACGTTTTACTTGCGAGGACACACAAAAAGCTACTTTGAGCTTTTTATATGATTTGATAATTACTTGATGTAAAAAATCTTGTTAAGTAATTGCTTTTAAAACCCCCAAAATGCAAGTAGTTACAATACGAAAAAATCTTTATTAAATAAAATCAAATAATTGTTATTAATTTTTTAAGATTTAAAAGTTTATTTAATTAACAGATTGCCTAGTTAAAATATTAGAGTAATGTAAATTAAAGATATAACTATTTGGAATCTAACAGTTTTAGAATCATATTGTATAGATAAAAAGCATCCAAACCTGA